GCGCGCCGCTTAATTAAAAGGTGCTGAAACGTTGAGAGACGACAGTGGTGCACTCCTGGGTACGATCATGAGTCTCCTGGTGTCTGGTGGGTATGGGGAAGAATCGTGGTAGAACCAAAATGGTTCTACTATTTGGGTGCCTGCTGCAGGCGTTTGTTTGGAAGGTGGGTATTCGTCTATACCCTACTCCTTTTGTGGCTCTTCGCTTAGGGAATTGATTTCCCGAATGGAATCGTTCAAACGGGACAAACCCAACACAAGAGTCAGAAAACCATGCTTTCGAATACATCAGGTGGCTGTTAAACCACGGAGACAAGTGTTTAAACCTGATGCCTTGAAGAACTCTGGATCAATCATGGCACCTTTGCCGCCACATGCCTTACGTGGTATTTACAAGCATTGCACATGTTAGGGGTCGTGGTTTGCGTTTTCTTTCGTCGTGTTTTGCCTGTGTCCATCGTTGATGGGAAGCCCCGAAGATGGAGCGCTTTCGAGAATGAAGACAGGCGACAAACCAACAAGTAACCCTATACCCTATCTCCCGCTACATGCGGACACCTCATGTCAGCGCACGATGCGTCCTTCGTGCCTTCAATATTGTGGCGGCTTGCTTTCTTACGTGCGTTGAGCAAAACAGGAGATGATGTTGAATGCCCACAACCCGGTAGGCACAAAAACGGTCCTCATCGAGGGAGAGCGCGGCAGCGGGAAAAGCATCCTCCTCTCGAAGGTCGGCTGGCTGGACTATGGCTCGCAGGCTTTTGCTGCTGCGTTTTCTTGTAGTTTGTGTGCAGGTTACGACAATCTCTCGATGTACACGTTTCGCTAGGTTTGGCTGCCGCGACCACGCGCACCCCCCTGCATAAAAGAACTTGAACGAGGTTCTGTCGCAAGCGAGGCTCAACCTTATCTCACGAAAAGCCTTCATAACGGTTCACCGGCGGGGTTTGAACTCCTGACCAAGGCCAACAGTAATGCCTGTAATGCCTGTTGACCATAGGGGCATGCTGTGCTCTATGTAACGGAGTTCGTCTAAGGTGCATTTGGCGAAATAGGGGCGTGCACCAACCAGACATGACATTCGATGACTGTATGAAATTGGAGCCCAACACGGATGAATCTATCGTGTCTCGACGAGCAGGCAGTCGGTATGATGGATGGGCACGAACTTCACACGTTCTGTTCCTCGGGAGACATGCACGAGAGGCATACCAGCCTCTTCCCATTTCGACAGGTGAGACTGCGGCAACAACGACAACGGGACTAGCAGCAGTTGAGCATCGTGCAATGACACCCGCGGTCATCACCTTTGTTCCGCCGCCGCCCCGTCCACTTCGCCGAGATCGCTCCGTCCAGGCATTGCACGGATGACAAGCTTCTCGCTTGACGACAACAGCATTTATGTATCATGAACATGTCTCCCCCCCCACACTTTCCTCGTCTCTCTCTACCCACCAATCAGATCCTCTGCCAGCTTTTGGAGCTTGACCAAGATCGGCTCAACTGGTACGCCGCGGCCAATCGACCTCCTCCCGCTACCGGGTCGTCGCCAGCGGCGGCGGCGGCGGCGGCGGCGGCGGCGGCTGCAGCGGCAGCGAGTTCGACTGCTGCGATGGCGGCCGCGGCGTCGGCGGCGGCTGCCGGGGCTGCGGGAATCGTCGAAATGGGCGGAGAGGTGGCTTCAAGGCGAGACAGCTATTTGTTGTAGACTATTTTTTGAGTTTTGGTTGGACATACGTATATATAGCCTTGCCTGTCGATTTGTGTGGTATTACAGTTGTTGATTGTTCGTTCGTCCGTTTTTGTCCCTGGGTGCTTTGTAGAAACTTAAACATCGTCACCCACTACAAACAATTACGTATCCCTACCACCGTGGTGTGTTTGCCACAATAGGTTCCGACGAGCGTCCAGCCGAAGACGCAGCAGCATCGTCGCGGTCGGGTTGGGCATGCTAGGAGGAGGAGGAGGAGGAGGAGCAACGGAAGGAGGCGCGCTGCTCGACGCAAAATCGGGAACGGATGCCGCCAGCGGTGCGCCGGCCCTTTCTGCGCCGCAGGCGGCGGCTCCTCCTCGCAAGCGGCGCAGCAGCTGGGTCTCGAATGTGCCCGGTCGAAGGCGTAGCACCGACGCTGTGAGTCACCTTTCTGGGGAGAGTGCAAGGCAGGCACTCCACCAGTGATCATAATGCGTGGCCTTGGACAAGATTATGGGGGGTGTAGATGTAATATACTTGCTAGTCGAGTCTATATGGCGACCGACCACTCAGTGCAGACGCTAACACCCTCACCAAACTTCGGGCGATGTGCCAAACACTTGATTTCTCTTTCCATACGTGGACGACCTTTCGACAGCAGTGTACTCGTTTTGAAGGTCGATTGTCATTCAATTGCCACCTTTGTTCCACAGCGTTCCCCTGGAACGGCACGTTCTAGAAGTAATTCACTCGCCTTCGTTTCCTGTTGAGAAAATCGACCTATGTCACAGCTACACTTACTGCTGTGCTGCGGCTCTCTTGGCAGCCGAACGCCCTCAACCCCTACGAACCGACGGCGGCAAGGGGACATCTTGTCAAGAACCCCGGATTCATGGCGCTCATGAAGGACCCCGAGCTCGGGAAGCACCTGCCGCTGCTAAACATGATCCTGCCCCTATACAACGAGCAGGCAGCAGGGGCGGTGACGACAGGCGCACAGGTAAACAGCACTAGTAAAACAAGAGGATGACGTGTAGACTCGTTCCCCTCGTAGATTCGAGGTCTGAAGTGTCCGCGGAATGACGGAAGTTGATCGCGACACTTTCTCTGAAAGGAATGACGGAATAAGTCCGACAGAAATAGCTAACAAACAGTCGACCTGCGAGGCGTGCAGCAGTTCTAACACCGTCATCCCAACACGTATACACATGAAGTTCGTCGGTGACATGATGCACGATGTGAACCGTGATAACAACCAGAAGCCCACACACCGCAAAGTGATCAATTTCATTAACTGGGCGCGCGTTGCGTGACATTTTACGTAGGACACACACTCCAAGCTCCGGAGAGTCGCCGACATGATCGCAGCGCTTCTTGTTCACCGGCTTGAGGCCTCCAAGATGGGAGCGGCAACAACTACCGCGGGCTACAGAAGGGTATGATTGGGTAGAGTAATTATTTTTGAAATGGACAAATAGTGATTCTGTTCGAGAAAATGAACGGAACACTAAACAGGGCTAAAGCAGGAGGTGGAAAATACGCCGTTTATAGGCGACAAAACGTACGTAGGATTTTCATGGTTTCGTAGTCTATTTGTTCAAGTTCAAACGTATGGGTGCAAGGAAGTAGCACCAGAGCGCAAGTACGAATCTGATCTGAGCGGCACCTCTTGCCACGGAGGGTGGGTCTGAAGAAGCAATTCCCTCCGTAGGCTGCTGTTGACCTATTAGTTGATTGGACTCATTTCTTCTTCCGAGGATTGACTTTTCCCATCATCTCGTTCTCGGTACTATCACCTGTAGAAACATATCTTTCGCTAGCACGCTTGGGGAAGGCACCACCGAACCCTGAAGGCGTGAGCGGCAGAAGAACTCTTCCGTGCCATCCTGGGTCAGAACTCTACGGTTTGGACCAGAGAGGAGGCAAGGGAGAAGGTGCCACAATAGCGACAGTTGGGATGTCGCAGATCAAAAGAATCCACAACATAAACAAGTACAAAAACAAGGGCCACACCTACTACGAACGGGGTTGGAAGAAACGGAGCCAAGCGTGGACCGGTGAACCATCGGCTCTCGGGATTCCTGTCTTTCGTTGCGACGACGATTATTGAAGCGGATCAACGGAACCGCACTACTTCTGTTGCACGGGCTAGCCACACGTTTCGGGCTAGATAGGCCTTTATCTAATCGAGGAAAATAGGTGATGAAATGATGTTCTGCGCCACCAAGCCGGACCGTCGTAGTCGATTTCAACACCTAATCCATCCCCCACACAAATCTGCCGGCACATGTACTTATTTTTTGTTTCAACATTACGATACTACCATCATGAAGCTGTGCATCCAACTTCAGACGACGATTACAGCACAAGAGGCAACTTGGATCTCCCCCAGCCCCGTAAACCCACGCTGCCTTCTCTGTTTAAAAAAAAATCTCCACGACGTGGAAAGATCTGATTACATCTCCGCGACACGCCCACCATTCAGAAAAACATACCCTTTCCCGCCTTTGTTCCCTCTTGTCCCCGTCGAGGTATGCGTTGAGTACACCTCGGTGCAATCCGAGATTGAAAAATTGCCCTCCACTTAGCATCGACCAATAGCACATACATGAGAAACACGGGCACAAGTCGATTCACGCAGCAATGAGCGTGACATCCCTTGTTCCGACAGCGCTCATTTTTCGTGCCCAATTTTCTCCTCCCGCATACTTTCAACGGAGTTCAGGATGCGGCGGTGTCTGCAACCCCGACGCCGGCCAACAACGTGACAAGGGCGGGCTCGCCGTTCAGGTTGACCGGAATCGGCGACGCCGCGAAAGTGAACTCCGTGGAGGAGGGGAGGGGCTGCGGGGCGGCCATCGTTTTGGACAACACTCAATGGCTGGATCACAACAGGTACGAGCTACATTGTATCTCTCGAAGGTAGCTCTGGTCTGTAGCTGTTCCTCCTTGACTGTGCTGGAAAAATCGTTCGGTTTCGGCTCGCGTTGTTTGTTCTGTGGTGCAGGTTTGTCAGGAGTTCGTCGTTCACATGGGGCGCTATCGTAACAGTGATGTGTATCGATACAGCGAGTTGAAGGAAACAACCATCGGCCACACAGTACACATTGTTTTTTGAAGGTTTGCACATCTTCGTCTGTGAAGACGGACAGGACCATGAGAGAGCACATGCGGTGAATGCCACGCACACGAGGAGCCACGTTGTTCTGACCCAAGCAAACGAACAAAAGTCGTCGTCGTCGTTGTCATCGTCGTTGCAACATGCTTGATTGACTCCACGGCTTGTGCGACGGGCAGCTGGGAGCTGATGCACCTCCTGAGGAAAACTCTGCCCGGGATGCTCATCTTCGCCGCCTTCCGACCATTCTCGGAGATGAACCTGAAGCACACGATCGCCCTCAAGACTGTCCCGGGAACGCTCAAGATGAACATGGGCAGGCTGACGGCCACACAGGTGTGTGCGTCTCCCGCGGAAAGGAGCGTGCAGGCTGTACGATCGATGGCGATGACGCTGATGGTGACGATGGCCGGGTGGTGGTCGTAGCAACGCTTGTGATGAACTCGGGGTAAACGATTTCTCCCCCTCGAGCCGATGCACCGCTTCCTTGAACCGATTGACCAATCGGCTTTGCATAAAAGGGGTAGGTTCCCTTGCTGTGCACAGAGATTGGTGGTACACGCACTAGGGATTTTTGCTCCGAGACTACAGACGGCCCCACCACTAGTTCGATTCTTGCTGCTCCAGGTACACGATTGTAGCTGCTCCATCTTCGAACGACATCGCCCGTAACGAGCCCCGTTTGACAGGCTTGCCCCTTGCTTCTTGCCTGTTTGTCATGAAACCCACCAACCAGGTGACGCTCATTTTGTCCGACATCTTCGGAGTGCAGAGGACAAGCGAAGAGCTTTTGGAGTTTCTCGAGGTACACTACTGCACAGAATATCCATGACACTCTTGCCGCACAACCGAACGATAAGCCTGAGGGTTTTTCGGGTAAGAATAACAGCAGTGACTGGTGTACCGGGGGAGCACCACACTGTCTCTAGAATGGAAACACTACTCTTGAACAACAGCTCAAACATGTCGCGTTTTTCGATGTTAATGTGGTTCGGTGGTACCTACAGGTAACCGCCAAGGGAAACCCTCGCGACGTGATCCACATGATGGAGGATCTTTTTAAGGAGGGGATCGTGGAGGTTAACCTGGGCGCCGTGGTCATTCTCAAAGAACTTTCGGAGAACTCTCTCAAAATCAAGGTGGGCGTGTACGTGTGCTGGCTGCGAGGATGTAAACAACGTCGTGGGGATTCATGGAGAAAAGAGAGCGGGGCGCGTAGCTGAGAGCTGCCTCGGGTTTCCATGAACACGTTGTTCACCTAAAAATACATGCTACGTCTCGGCTTTTTCTAGACTACGTGCGACGTGAAAAGACAAGGTCATCCTACCTTTGCGTACCCTTTTTCCTTTTTCCACACCCATCAGTAACGCCTCCGGCAATATCGACGCTTTCAATAATTTGCATCGGCTATGTCTGCCTGAAACAATTGCTCTTTACTTCTGTGTGCCTTGCCCCTCCCCACGCCCCCCGCTTCCCGTAGGATCGCAATTCGCCTCTCCCCTCTCTCATCCCCGTTCTATGTGTCCTTCCGGCTTCCCTACCAAAACAGGATCATACTTCAGCGCCCGTGATCGCCAAGTACGACCAGTTGACCAGAGGAACGCAACAGCTTGTGCAAGCCGCCGCGGTGATCGGACAGGAGGTGGGTTTGTTTTCCTGCTGTGTTGACGGCGAGAAGAGAGTGGGAGGAAACTAAAAGGATGGCCTCAAGGTAAACAGCGATCTTGCCGTGGTCTTTCGCACAATCTACGATATTTAGGGTTGGGTGCTGAGCTCGTGCATGTGCTACAGCACGTTGGAACTACGAAGCGGTTCCAAGGAATCGTCTGAGAAGATACCAGCACCGCCAGCAGTGCACCTCACGTTTTACCAGAAACCCATCTGACTGTACAACTGCTCGTTTAACCGAGGAGGGGGAGGCGCACAAACACGAGCCCTTTCCGCGAATTGAGACCGCGAGAACACTGTTATGTCCCGTGATACTAGCGCCATGCCCGCTGCAGAATCAATCGGCGGCCCTCCTAGCCACGAGCAGCTCCTCCCTTCTTTTCTGCTTTCAATGAAAAAGCAACAACCCCCGAACCGTCTTGATAGGTCCCCCTTGACCTGCTTGTGGACGTCCACGCCATGCTGACGCCTTCCCGGGAGAACAGTCACCCGACGACTTCATCGCCGACGTCTGCTAGTGCGTCAGACGACGCTATGGTGGCGCCCGGCTCTCCGGCTGAGGGAGGAAGGGGGGGCGGGGAGAGAGACGACGTAGATGCGCAGATCAACACGCTGGTGAGGGTGGGGCTCTTGGAGAGGAGTTCCCCGGAGTCGGTGAGGTTCGTGGCGAACTACATGGTGACGGTAATCTACGACATGATTCTGCACTCCAAGAGGCAGGACATGCATAAGGTGCGCCCTCGTTCGTTCCGTTCAATTCTGTCGTATGATCTGTGTGTAAATGCAATCTGCTTGTCGTTTTGGTGGCGGCCATCTGAGGAAACAATTTGCGCTCCGCAAGGAAAGCGTCCGTACAACAGACTTCAATGGGCTTGGAGCACTACGGGTTTCCTCCATGTTCGGCGTTGACTTCATTAACGGAGTTAATAACAGATTTTTTTAAGGGTACCTTTGACAGCGTGGCGATCTCGATTGTAGAGAGAAACATCTTGAATGATTTTTCGTACTTAATCTCACTTGGAATGCGCGGGTGTCGACTCCTTCACTATCATACCCACGGCTCTTGTGTCGAGCACTCTCTCCTTCCTATGCCCCACGCCCCGGCGCTGACAGGTTTTCCTCCCATTCTCCACGTACATGCGTATTCCCATGTCCAGGAAATCATATTGTGGTACCTGACACGCAAGTCGTTTGTCGACCTAAGACCGCACTTTCGCTTCCTTGGGAAACATGCCATGGTGAGTGATTTCTTCCGTTTCTATTTCGGAGGCGGGGCGAGCGACCCAAAACTATGGTACAAACCCGAGGAAACCCGGCCTGACATGCTGGAAACTATTCCAATCACACAAGTCACAGAAACCCAGACAACACTAAGACACGCCACTTTTAGGAAGCAAAAATAGAGTCAACCGGCGAACAGGAAGCCCGTTTCATGAAACAGCAAGCAACGGACCCGAGCGACAATCCGAGTAGATTCGTCAATCTCACGAGTATCCCCGGAACCTCGGATGCCCAGTTGGACTGTAATAAACTTAGGAATGTTGCTGATGTACGCACTCCGTGTACGCAGTACACAATTTGTGCCTGCGGCAAAGAACAAACCTTCAAGAAACAAAGGCTCAGATTTTGGTGAGAACGGAGGAAAATCGACTAAGGAACACACCTCAGCCGTGGATCTTGGTCTATGTATTGACCTATGCTCGACTGACGAGGTAAGAATTGAGGCTCGACCCCAAATTGACGTTTTCTTAAACCCGGGCGCTAACTGTACGGGTGGCCAAGCGTAAGGTGGACTATATTTCGGTTGCATGTTCAACCCTCGCCTCTAGCCCACCCGTACATCCGTCAAAGTTGTGTACGCAAGAGGCTTTTCTCGATAAACATTTGCGCTCTGTTCCAGACAACAGACACAAATTGGTCCCGTCCGTGCACCGCGTGCATGTTAAGGAGTACCACGCCAACAACCTTTGTGCACGCGTGCGTGAGCGCACGTACGTACTACAGGCAGCGGGCGATCAAGACTTGGCCGTCAACTTTTTGGTGATGGCGGCGGAGGTGGCTATTGCGTGCGGCGACCCGACCGAAGCACAGCTGGCATGCGGTGCTGTCACGCAGGCTGTGGACGACTCTGGCGCGTCCGGCCATCTCACACTCCTAGATCAGGCATGTCGTTGTTCCTGTCGGCGGGGGGGGGGGCGGGGGCGTACTCTTATGTTTTGCATGCCTCAGCGGTTAGACCATTGACCACGCGTCCTCGAGAGGACGGAGCATTGTTCCCACAGTATCGATCACCGATGGTCAATCGTTCCTTTCTACTTTGCCAAAGGTGGCTAAAAAATGTCTTCCCTAGTCTGTCTATCGTAGCGATATCCCTTCCCGCCTTTTCAACCCACCTCCTATTTCCCAGTACAGCTACCGTCTTCTCTCTATTCCATGTCTGAAACATCCCCCTGTACGTTCCATCTATTTTCCCCACCCCAGTCATGTACACTTCCCTCTCCTTTTCGTACAACTGACATTCCGCGACTACATGAACCCCGTCTTCGCACTCGAAGCCGCAATCACATCTGAATTTGTCGTCTTCGTCGTCTACCGTGCTATGTCTTCGTCGACGTTCTCGAAGGCCTATGTCCCCGGTCCTGAATTTGATCTGAAGCTTTGTCCCTGCATCCATTGGTCCATGTAGGTAATCCTTGAACCCTATTCCTTCAATCAAATTTTTCGTATAGTTCTAGGCCCTCCTTATCCTTGGTTTCTTTCTTTCGATTCTGTACATCTCTCTCGGCACAAGCAATAGAGATCTTCTCCTTGAACCCCTGTAGACCCTCCTTTTCCAGCGTTTCAACTTCGTCGATTTCGAACCCCTCCCATATGTCCTCTACAACCTTGACCCATTCCGTGGGATGTCTACCCCTCTTTGTGTTTGCCCACTTCGCCTCCCATGCAATTCTCGGCAACCTCTCCTCTCCCATCCCGCACATGCGATACTGCTATGTCAGCATTCCTGTTGGGGGGGGGTGGGGTGTACTCATAGTCGTGCATGCCGTAGTCGTTAGACCATTGACCTCGCATCCCTACAAAGCCGGGACGGAGCACGCCGGGT